TAATCTCTTATGTAATCTTTGATCTTCTTTCCTTATCGTTGATCTTTGTTACGTATTTCAAGCCCTAATGTCTTCCCCAATTCTCTTCTCTCTCCCTCCAAATTACACAAAGCCGTTGCTCTCTCGCACTTCCTTCTTCCCCTCCTCTCTCTTACACATACCCCCACACAACACTGCTTTGGATTTTCTTTTGGATGGTGAATGCTTGAATCGACAATCTATTCTTGGTTGCGTGGAGTTATAATATTAGTTTGGAATTTTTGGATTTTATTTTATTTAATTTCATGCTATTTTGATTGAGTTTTGAATTGTTAAAAAATGTGGTTTTTCTCATTAGGCTCCGAATGAAACACAACATATATAGCAAATGTGAATCTCAAACTATTCCAACCGTTGAAACATGATGAGGTTAGTGATTTTGTTAATTCCTTTTCTTTTCCCTATCTCTCTTATTTATTTCTTGACAGGGTAATAATATGTTATTTCACAAAGAATTTGTGAATTATATTGATTGCTAAAGTATTAGAGTTATCTGATCAACTTAGGATTTAGGATTTCTGCTCTATTTGTTTAGGAAGATTCTGCAGTGTGCATTACTAAATGAGACTCTCACTTTGGTTTGCTTTCTTTAATATGACATTGATTGGCATTGGGCGAAATAGAGGTATTCTTTGCATTTCGCTGTCTTCTTCAATACAATGATCTAACATTTCTCATGTAGCTATTTGAGGATCGATTCCACGCTACTCAACGAATTTCTCACATGTACTTGATTCACTGATGCACTTGATTGCAATTTTCTCACATGTACACACAGCTATTCGTTGATTCACTGATGCACTTGATTCGTCATTTTGCATTATTATAAACTCTAAGATTAAACAAAGAATTCATTCTCAATCTAACTATTGTTTCATTGATTTTGTTAGTGGGTAAAAATTAAAAACGAGAATTATTTTAATTTCTATGCCACTGACTGTTGATTGTAATGTTACTACCATACCTAAATTCATAGGTTATCCTCTTTTTTTTGCGGTAAGTATAGTAGATTATCCTTTTTATGCTCGAGTGTTGTTTTTTTCTGGGTTTGCTTGGGTAAGATTCTCCATTGTGGGTTTCACTGTTATTGTTGGTGTGTTGTGATGCATTACTTTACAGTGTTTTGTACAATAGCTTAAGCAAATCCAATCTTTAGGGTTCACTTGGCTAGAAATTAAGCAACTAAGTTGCTCTGTTGTAATTTATTGTGCTTTTGTACTTTTTTGTGGGCTTTTGTCTTTAGTATCACTAAATGTAGTGTTTATTTTAAAAAGTTGCTCCACTAGGTAAAATATCCATTTTCTCATTGCCAAGTTGTTGATTGTGTTGCCAATAGTTCTGGAACCACTATTTCCTACACACTAGCATTTTTTGTGGATATTTCTTACACACCAGCATAGTTGCTGCGGGCTTTCTTTCATAGTGGGACTCATCAAGTGTTCTGGGTTGAATGAAGGATTGTCATCAATTTGGGTAATTTTTTGTCACCAATTTCAATCTACTGATAGTTCCTTTATTTTGATCAAGTTATCAAAACAGCAAATCCCATGTCTTTATTAAGCATTGGTCATCACTGTTTGGGGAGAAAAGTTTTGAATTTTGTTGTGTGCGGTGGCCATAAACTATTTGAATTAATTCATTATGATTTATGTGTCACTGCTCATTATTTGTGCATGCAGAATTCTGTGGGGAGACCTACGCTTGGAAAAATAAGGGGTGAATGTGGTTTAATTCAACAAATACTAGGTGTGAATCAAATGGTTTGCATGAACTTTTACAAAATAGTGGGTCAATATTGATTGATGATCTTTCTCAGTTTTTTTAATTTATGAATTTTTTTTTTGTGTTATGTAATGCCTTCTGAGCCAATTCTGTTGGGCACAAAGATGGAAAGGCATTGATTTTTGAGGATATTTGGTTTCTATGGAATGAGTCAATGTACTTATTCTTATTAGTTTAAGTTTGGTGTTAATTCAGTTTATGTTTGCATGATAAATAATGTTAATATCACTACTAATGTGATGCGATGAGATTATTGATTTAAGTCATGTTTATTTACATAAAGATCTATTTCTATAAGTTGTACACTCAAGTTGTTATTCTTTATGGTCATATTTTCAAAAGAAATCTGATAACATTTTTTAAAAATAATAGTTGGTACATACCAACTATTGAAATTTTGTTTGTTATAATAGTTATTTTGATCTGAGTGTGTTATAGGTGGTGTAGAATTGTAATATACACCAAGTTGGATGCGACTTGAGCTATTGTTTTTGTTTTCATTATGTAGTACCTTTAAGCACAGACAATTTCTAGTATATATATTGTGTAATGTGTATGAGTGTGTGGTTGTATGTGTTTGTTGTGTGTGATGGTTGTGTGTGTGTGGGTGGGTGCGTGTTTGCTGTGTGGGTATGTGTGTGTGTGTATTTGCTGTGTAAAAAGATAATATATATATATATATAGAGAGAGAGAGAGAGGGGGGGAAAGACTCTCTAGACAGGACTAGAAAGAGAAGTAGGAGTGATAAGATAAAAATTGGTTTTGTGAATTATTGTCCAAACAGATTTTATTATTTTCTGTTCTTTAAAACTAATTTCAAATACATATAACCAAACAGGTTTTGCAATGTAAAAAAATCAAAAAAACACTTTTTTAAAACTCTTTTAAAAAATTATTTTCGATACTGTTTTTTGAGATGTGATTCAAACATGTCCATTTTCCGATATAGTTTTCTAGTAAAAAAATTATAGGGAAAATGGCCAAGAAAGAAAGCCAAAATAGGACACCTACAAAACAACGTCTGCAAAATATTGAAAGTTTCGATAGAGTTGGGTTGAATCTTCCATGGGTAAAATTCAGCCGACAACCCCCGCCCAATGAAATCGCAGAGTCAAATTCAACCACCTCTCCACTGCGCTTAACAAGAGCCTTCGCATTATGAGATGTCCAAATCCCGGTCGTTATATTTTCGTTGTAAAACTGTGGTTAGCTGAAGATGATCGGAAACCAAAATAATTGATTCAAATATTATACTCCAAGGAAGTCGATGTAAGTTCTGAAAGGGAACGAACTTCCACTAAAACGAACTTCAAATATCATTTTCACTTCGACTGAAATCTTCTTGGGCAGGTGAATTCCACTTTCATGCTGCAACTCAAAAAACTAAAAAAGTGCACAACTAGTTCCTTTCTAAATTACTAAATTTCCGAAGTGAAAATGTCAGTCTTTTTTGAAGTTCTCTCCATATCCAATAAGCATCCGAGTGAAGACTAAATCAATGCATACAGTTGAAAACACACAGAACAAATAATGAGTTAATTATCTAAATGGCCCTTAAACTATACCTTGTTATTTAAGTACTAGCATAAAATTTGTCTCAGTTGGGCCCTCCAACGTCTTACCTTGCATCAATGCCCTCATTCCATTGAATTTTGTCAAATTTTTCAGTGGAAGTGGGCCTCGTGCAACTCATGATTAAGGTAACAAATCTTATATACACAAACCAAATCCCTCCCAAAACTGCATATTTGGCATGCGAAATTGAGTTTGAGTATCCACGACTCGAATGTGGGTCATTTCATTTAAAATTTTTGAAGGAATTGGGAAGGTTAAAACTGAATCAAACTAAAAAGTTGGAGCACTGAATGGGGATAAAATTCAGTTTGAGGGTTTAATGGAGACTAATGGTAGAGTTTAGGAGCCGCTTATGAATTTACTCATATAGAGCTGAACATGTGAAGAAGCCCACAATTAGAGGGTCTCAATTGTGGAGCAGTGCACACGTGCAATAGGTATCAGATTACCTTAACCTCAGCAATAACCACAAGATTGGTGTCTGCATGAATGCATAATTCCCCATGTCTCCAGATGATATTTTCAACAGTTTGACTTTAAAAGTTTATGAAATGTTCCAATCGCAGAAAGGCACATTATAGGGCCACAAATGTGCAAATATAAGAAACTCCTACGACAACTGTCACAGGGTCAAAGGGTCAAATTTAACTCAAATTTTTGTCTTGTGATAGCACTGAGATCCAACACTCGATCTCAATCAAACTCATACAATCACTCACAGAACAATCTATTGAATAGAATATGGACAAGAATCAAACACACAAAGGCACACGAGGTTACAAGTCAAACGACCTTACCTTTTTCTTCTCAATTAGCTTAAAGGATTTTTGTCTAAGGGTCTTCTTACAAAAATGGGCCCAAACTCTCTTGGGTTACTGCAGACCCCACCATGTGTATATAGAGCTATACAATGGTGGTTACAACCCAACCACCTAGGTAGTAATTCTGGCACCAACCAGCTTTGGCCAACTTAGTCATGCAGTTGACATCCCCAACTACTTAACTCTTTATTCTGAGATAGGGAAATCTATGAGAATTCTCCGCCCTGTCAAATAAAATGAAATGAAGGAGACTTCATCTCTAATGCTTTGTGGAAGTCTTTCATAGACCATGGAATTCTTCGATTCATAAATTAGACCTCATGTGCAAATACTTCCAAATATTAGCATGTATTTAAGAGCATAGATTCATGTACTGAATCTCAAGATCCAAGCAACAAAGGGCATTTATACAATACACAGATGCTACTAAAGTATACAATCCATCCATATATGATCATCGATAGAACTTGAGATGTTTGTAATTCCATTCTCAGCAGCAATGAGTATAAGAACAGGGAGAATGGGAAGATGGAAAGTGGAGATAGAGATAGCCTCTAATAACTTATTATGAAAAATGACCGTGAATGACAAATGTCAAGGGTAAATTTCACCCGTATTTGATAGTATTCATCCCTTGCATCATCAACGAACTATGAGGAATTTTTCTTTTTTAAAATTTGACTTTTACGACATAATAAATCATACCTTTTGGATGTAGAGGAGTCAGAAAATCAGCTGACCTACATGATGAACTTGCACTATTTTTCTTCAATTTAGTGAACTCTAGACCTTCTCGTCAGGCTCACTGGATTGAGATAACCCATTTTCTTTTTCAGGTTTGCTGCTTGGTGTAGAGTTTCTCCGCTCTTTTCCTCCAGGCTTAGATGAGGCATTGCCATACCAAACCATTCCAGCCACTGCAATGATCATCCCTAGAATTACATGTAGATTGAGGCCCTCTTTCCCAAAAAAGAAGAATCCTAAGATCAGGACTAAAATAGTTTTCATGTGGCCAAGCACTTGGAATGACACTGCTGTGAATCTACCAATGCAGATGAATTGGCTGAGATTGGTTCCTATCGCAATGGTACATGACAGGACTATGAAAAACTGCATAGAACATTGAGAAGCCCAAATTAACCTCAGTAGTCAACAAAAAACAAGGACGTCCGGAAATGCATGCATATACATGCTCAGCCAAAACAACCCCAGAGGACTATCCTTTTAGTAGTCTTACATTAAAATAAGAGCTAAGATTAATTGTGTATATCCGAAACATATACCAGTCAGTGACCACATTGTTAGTTGTTGGCGTTATAGCCTAGTTATTAGTATTTATTTATTTTATTTTATTTTTTACAGACAGAAGCAAAAATAGTTTCGTCATGTAACCTTCAGTTTGTACATTTATACCCAACACCAATTTGCATACAAATCTGAAACTATCAAGTATTGATTCAAAAACACAATGAAAATGTATGATGCAAGCTAATAATTTAGGGATACAATCCTATATGGTCCCTAACTAGTCTTACTTGCACCCAATGAAGGATCTAGGGGTGGAAGGAGTTGACCTAGGTTTCAAAATTCCCTTGTACAAGATGAAACCTAGTAAAAGTAACGTAACCCTCGCAGTCATAAGGAGTCCCCCCTGCCTTTACCCTTCCACTGCCTGTAACATCTTTTTAAGTGAAATCTTGTTTGAGAATATTGAACACCGTTCAGGACATTTTTCACTCTGAATGGTTTCAGGCATCTTACATAAACAACTATTTCAAGCCTCATGACTGAGGCACTTGGCTGTGTCACCTAGGAGGTTAGGACCTACCAGTGACATGGAAGAATAAGATATAAAAAATCCAAGCGCTATCAAAACCTGATCTCTAAAACTTATGAATTTCAAAATTCAATTTAATTAGAACCAGGGTGAGACTAATGCAATAATCAAACAATATATGTATGCCTTTTTCTCATGGTTGCTTGAAAAGAAGAAAGAGTTCAAGCAAATGCAGAAATTGGCTCCAGATAGAGCAAAATAGCAAGAGGGAGTTCAAGCATGGCTGATTCCGAAACTGGGATTAGACTTTCTAATGATAATTTCATCGCAAAAAAAGACCAATCAAAAAGGTCACAAAAACCAAATATGTAAGAAGAAAACCTAAACATAAGGCAAGCTCCTTACATATCCCATCTTACATAATACTCGAACAATGAGAATTATTATAGAGCACCAGATGTTTTATCGGACCGTATCAAACTCATCAATTGCAAAACTTCCAAGGGAGATAAAATCATTTGCATATATATGACTAGGAGGTTAAAACACGTGCAACAATGCATGAAACAAATTGATGTGCAATCTATAAGAATATGAATAAATGGACCAACAAAGTAAAAAATTGAAATATGCTATGTAGACAGCAAGTGATAGGTGCCAGCCTGCCAGGTTAAATTTTCCCATGCTGCACCGACAGAGAGAAATGTACTTTTGTCTTTGTTTGGTTAGAATTCAATTGCCAAAAATATGATGTACTTACCACAGACGAGAAACTATATGGATAGGAGTCGACCCTTTTCTTCGTCAGCCAATAGTCCAAAAAGGGACCTAGTAAGAGCAGAGATGCAGCCTGTGCTGGTGCAGTGTGCCCTAATAGATTGAAGGATCCCAGCGAATACTTCCTTTGGAGAAAATGTACATACTGCAGATGTGAAATATGAAGGAGAAACTAAATCATATAATGCCAGTATCAGGAGAGTGAGAGACTATCTAAAATTCCAAGTTAGCAACAAAACTTTACAGAGGAGGTTGCTCAGCTTCTTAGGAATAAGAACACTCAATAAGGGTTACAATTTCAGATACTGAGAACCCAAGAAACCTAGCTTGCAATCAATTCCAACAGGCAACAGGGAGAGGACAGAGCAACTTGTTTGGTAAGTATGACTTGCAAAATTTTATACCCAAGAAAAATAAGAATAAAACTTAACTAGTGTGATACAACTGCCCCAAACACAAATCAATATAGTAGTATCACCCCCCAAAAAACCTAATTCTAGAAATGCCAGACTAATCTCAAAATGTTAAAGACATTATTATCTAATAATTGACCACATTGCCATTATTAGTTCAACAAGATATCATTGTCTAATATCATTGATTCAGACTTACATATTGCTGTAGAGAAGTGCCCCAAACTGCTACAAATGCAGCAACAAAACCCTTGGCATTGACACTCACATCAGTAACAGTGCAGACTGCAACACCCAAAAGCACTAACACTATGCTAAGCTTGGTGTCCCTTGAATATCTCACATTGTCTAAGACAATTTCGAGAAAACAAGATACTGGGATCATAATTAGCTTCGCAATCTGAGAACAAATTTAAGAGGATTAAATATATGTTAACTTATTGAGAACAAAAATCCAGAGAGTTGCCAAAACTGACCTGATAGAATCCCACAGAGTTCCACATTAAACTCACATTCATTCCCACAATGGAGAAGTTTGCAAACAAAACGAATTTCAGAAGCTCAGACAATGGTATATGGGAAGCCTGGATATATCCCAACCACCTAAGAACAACAGTCATCAACGTGGTTGTGGCAAAATGTAGACCAGTTAGCGTTGTAGCTGCCGATTAACATAAAACAGTGAACACAGTGTCACCATATGCATCTATCTGATTAATGTATTTCTAAGGAAGGAAAAATATCCAACAAAAAACCAGTCTGAGACCTTAGTCAACAGCAAAAAAGAAAGACAAGAATAAATTACAACACATGCATGCCTATATTGTGTTTGAGAACACCCACCATTAATTAGGCCATATGATTGCTAACAGCATGTCAACAGTTTATTTTTTCCAAACAGTAGCTTCCCTGGTCACCACCCATACTATATTAGCTTAATTCTAACAACCAGAAGGGGCAAAAATAGCCTCGCTATTTGCCGCTTCAAAAAGCAATTTTAATCATCAATATATGGGTACAATGAAGGCATTATAAAATTGAATTCTTGCCAGGTCAATTTCAGCATCTTCGGTTGCTTTAAATAAATGAATTCACCAAAATGGTTTGGTCTCAGCGCAGCATCCTCTTCGGTCTCTTCCATCCAGAATATTAAACAAGATTACAGAATCAATATGGCCATCAACTTTTTCATTGTCCGAACTTATCCTAAACTTACTACACTTAATTCCATATACCTTGTCCAGGTCCAAATTATCACAAATTCTTTAAATTCCAATGCACCTCTTCATGGATCCAACCTATTATTTTAAACCTGTAAGTTGCTTCGACTAAAACCCCATATCCACAACCACCATGCACTATGGTACCACATCATCAACTTAAAAAAAAATAGTGCTTTGCAAGGTTATTGACACAACAATTGAGTTGAACCACACAATCAAAAAACAAACTATGCTAGATATGATCTTTTTAGATTCAATTGGTAGCTATATATTGTAATGATTAGATCTCAATAGAATTAAGCATAAATGGTGGAAACAGTGAACATAAAATTACCGAGCATGTCATGTAAATCAATTATGATACTGGGAAGCATATGCATCAGTTTGTTCCCCTAACATGATTGACAGCTAGAACTAGAGAGGCGTAGTTCAAATTTTCGCATGACAAACAGGTATTGAAAAGGTTTGTTTGTTTGTCCACCACAGCATGATATCCTCCAGAATCAGAAACCAAACTGAGTATAAATGACACCACGGTAGTAAGGAAAATCTTCTCCCAAGGTAAATAAGAAACAGTCATTAACACCTACCTGCTTGAGTCTTCATATGGATCTATAAAGATTGTGAAAACAAAATTTTAAGCTCAGTTGTTTGTTGTTAACTATCTTGAACCCAAGTTTCTACTAAGTTGCAAACAGTCCCAACAAGTAGGGTTCTCTCCAAGATGAAACACTTGGTTGATCCCAATTCCAAGTCTTAGGGGTATTTTTCAAATGGAGGAAAAATTTGGGCAAATTATTTGACAAGTTTTGGTGAACAAAAATAGAATATAAGCCGTCAATAAGTTCTCCAGCCATGGGAAAAGTAACATTTGTGATTAATTGTTCTTAAGTTTCTTGTTTTCTTTCTTTATGTGGGTATTTGGGGGGGGGGGGGGGGGGGGGGGNGGTCACATGCATTGAGCAGCCATGTGCCAATCAGGTGCCCACATTCAGCAATCATGTGCCCACATTCACCAGTCAACCTTACTACACGAACCAATGTGCATGTTGGGTCAACCCATGCCATGCAATCCAAAGCTCTGTACTCACATTGCTTCAATTGAACCCACCCATGCTCAATCGGGTGGTCTCATGCTGCCTTGGTTCGTCCCAATCTGTCGAACCACTTAACCGCATAACTTTAATTCCAATTTCTAGCATGCCTTGGTGCAAGATGCCACCAAGACCGGCCATTTGCAACCAAGTCAATTAGAGTGTGACAATATATATATTAGGAAACAACCTATATGGTTTTTGATCCAAAAAAAAAAAGTACAGCCTAATATTGTTAAAGTTATTACTCATCGAGTTCCAAAAACTTGGAATCAATTCCAAACTTTTTAAAGAGATGAAATTGACCTCTTAAGTCACAACTTCACTTGATTTAGCCATTTTTCGCTACAATAGCATAAAAATAAGTTCAACCTAAGAAACATGTTACCAAATAATCGTTAACCACGTATGACATCTCAAGGTGGTGGTGGTGGTGGTGGTGGTGGTGGTGGTGATGGTGGAGGGGGTATCTATGCCACATACATGATGATATTCATACCAGTGTTGTTTGGAAGTTCTCATTGGGAACATGGGGTGCAACAAACTTATCCAATTAATATGCAACTGTCCTTCTAGATGCAGATGTACAGAGAGAGAGAGAGAGAGAGAGAGAGAGAGAGAGCCACTAGTAACCACAATACACCACCCAAAAGGAATCAGAAGCCCTGTCTTCTATCCCAAATAAGGGGGACAAGAAAAAAAAAACAAAACAAAGCATGCTTGTCTAGCTATTAATATAACCAACAACTAGTAGTAGAATCACATGCATACCAACTCTTCTGAACAACAACTTGCACCATCAAACATCTCATTCTCTCTTCAGCTTCAACTTCAACCCCACAAAAACACAGGTCCTCCTGAAATCACCATTGACATTACCAAAGTGAACAGTCCAACCTTTTGAATCCTGAATCCACCATGACTCATGTCTGTGTTGATGCCATTGCCTGCTCCTGACGGGCCTAAACCTGGGCCAACGCCGCCTAAGACACCGTTGGATGGAGTTGTCACTAATGGAGAACCGCCATTGGGTGTGGTGGTGGATGGTGTGGCGGTGGGTGGGGTGGGGGGGGGGGGGGGGGGGGGGGGGGTTTATTAAGGTACCATCAAAGTTACTCATAGCAAGATGGTCTTGGCTTCAAGAATTCTGTCAAGTACTGTTGTCATTTTAGGGGTACCAATGTTAGAATCTTAAGCCTCACTCAGATTAATTAGGAAGAAAATCCAATCCTATCAACTAGGCCGGACTCACTTCTCATTATCATCCCATTTCTCAAATTTTGGGGCCCGCTCCTTTTAATTTTGACACATGCCAAGTCAAGGTTTTCATCTTACAATTATGTTTTCTCTTGTACTCCACACTACCGTCTTGCAATGTCCTTAAAATTATTATTCCTCCAACATAACCGTGTATCTCAGCATGTGACTACCTATGCATCTATGTTGTCATATTCTATGTCCATACTGTTAGCAATATGCCTAAATATCAATCGCACAAATGATATTAGAGTTATACTAACAACATCTATTTATTAATTAAACATAAGGGCAAGTTAATTTGTCATGTTACTGGCTTGTTCATTTTTGATATAGGTGACTCGTTTAAGCCACTAATATAGGGACACTAAATCAGGTGTGTGGGTCCTTGTTAGAGAACAAGTACACTGAATGTGACCATTAATTAATGTAGGATTTTTGATACGAAGTTTTAAATATCTGTTAATGTTAAATCCTAAAGTTGTAATTATGCAATTGATCCTTAGACTTGAGACACCATGGTTGTCTTATGCATGAAATTCTATACTTTAACTATATAACACATTCATATACTAACCATGTAACTTGGATATGCATTGTTGGACATAGTTAAACAATACATATGAGTGTATTCATAGACTTATAAATGTACAACATGGAATCTATCACCCTTAGTAAATAAAGGGAGAATGTTATATGTGATCTTTTGGGATATGACTCAAAGAGTCCTTAGCAAGGCAGAATGACAATTAGAAAAAGAATTGTTAATTGATCATTATGAGTCATAGTCCTCAGATCGAACACATAAGATTAAGTTAGGAGGTTGACAGTAATTTCATACTGTAATAATTCAATTGGGATATTGTGTGATAGAAGGATTAAATTGCATGGCAAGTGTAGACTAAATGAGTTTTTTTACCTACTTCGTACTATTCGAAGGTTGTTCATGATATAATGCTATGTGCCACTCATGATTCGTACAAGTCGAAAAACGAAATTAATATAAATATATTAATTGTTCTTTAATAAGAGAATTAGAAAAGCTCGAATTCAAGCTACATTAGAAAGAATTCTAATTTAAAATGTTACTTATAGTTAGTATCAATTGCCTACAATTGGGTATACTTGAACCTACAGGGCCACACACAATAGAATTGACTGAAAACTAAAGGATAAAAGACAAAAAATCAATTAAGAGTCAATTGGGAAGAAAACCTAATTAAGGGTTAATTAAGGACTTTATTACAATTAATGGTTAATAAAAGAGTCATATGTAATTATGAGATAACTACAAGTAAACCCAAATTAGGGCTCTATAAATACCTTTATATAGGAGGTGGATATATAAAATAATAACTCTCTTATTAGCACAAGAAAATCCACAAATCATTTTCTCTTTCTACTAGTTAATCAATGGTTGAGGTAGATGCTCCAAATTTATCAATTCGTGTGGATACCGATAGAGACCAAACAATTGCGAACGTTGGGGTAAATATCAAATTCATATTTGTCTCAGAAAGCCTGAAAATTGTTAAAAGTACGCTTCAAAAGATAACCCTTACAGTTCTCCATAGATCTAAGATTTCAATTTGTATTAAATATAAATAGATCTTGGAATGAGGAATCAGTTTAATTTTTTTTTTAAATTTCTCTATGTTTATTATATGATTCCTTAACAGTGGTATCAAAGTCATTATTCATGATTTAATACAAACTCAATGTGATTATTATTATGGCATGTCAATAGGTAGTAACTAAGAAATATTAGGGATTGCATATACTCGCATAAAACATATTACATGTGAGGATTTTCTTCAAAATAAATTCTAATTTATTTTTCACATGTTTAATATGAGATATTAATTGATCCATGGGTTTAAAATTATTTGAAATTCAAGTTTTAAAATTGAAGAAAATTAGTTACAAAATGTAGTAACAGTTTTTCCTTATAACTATATTTCATTCGTTTCGGGTTTGAGATTGAACCAAGAGTGGAATGAATTAGATCTTTGGTCGAAAAGTAGCTAGGATAAAGGTTTTTCATTCAACCATAGCTTACAGGCAGTCATGACTACCTTTCATGGTGGATGACAAAGGATGGTCTTAGAGTAAAACTTAAAACACTCGCTCATAATGTTCTTGTAAAGTTCTTCAAATCTTACTATGATTTAATCTAAATTTTTGTTCAACATTAGTTTTAATTTTGTTTATGAAATATTGAAATTAACTTTAATAATTTTGTAAAACTGGATTGGACAAAAATTAGATTTGTGAAGTCTCAAGACTTAATTATAATAAGGACTCTTGGCTTGTTCAAGTTGGACACAATTAGGTCCCCCATTTAATTTTTATCTACTTCCCTAAAATTAGGAGATTGTCTCATAATTACTTAAGGAGATAGTATTCTAATTAAATTAAGATATTATCTTTTAATTTAATTAAAAGATTATTTTCTAACTAAATTAGGAGATTGTGTTCTAATTAAACTAGGAGATTGTCTCCTAATCAAATTAATTAAGCAATTGTTCTTTACTTAAATTAGAAGATTGTCTTCCAACTAAACTAGG